TTAAATCAGGATATCCTGCTTGCTAATTTAAATCATGATTAAAAATGGAGATTTATATAACTTTGATTTAAATCAATTCACCCTGCTTGTTACAGTCAGGATATAAGAAATGAAATAAGAGCTATTACCTTCAGTCTCTGCTTGACACCTCCTCTGGTTTTTGAGCTTTCCTCCTTCTCTAGATAACTACTTTCTTCACCATGTCAGCAACACCTCTTGAGCACTGGTTTCCTATGTCCATACCGTTGTCTGAACACTTGAGGACAGTACCCTGCCTCCACTCAAACATTTCTGAATCTAGAGGTGCTTTTTCTTTCTCTCCAAAAATGGCTTAGAATAATTATCCCAAAGCAAACCAGGAATCCCAAAATTATCTTGCATATAACAAGATTTACCTAAGAAACTAGCAAACACAGAGATAATCAGAGTAAATCAAAGGTAAGCAGTGTAAGCTAAAGTGTAGCTAATGTTTTTTAATCAACTGTTGGAGGACTTCCTATATATGTTCATGTATATAAAATACAGGATATGAAATATGCATGATCACTCTTGTTGGCCAACTTGATTTGACTCTGTAGTTTCAGCCAATTTTTTTGTTTGAATATATAATGGAAATCATGGAGATCTATGCACCAATGTTCTGAGATATGTGCGCTAAATAAATAGTGAAGAATCTTATTCTGGTTTGAGTCTGGTGCCTGATCCACCTCCCACTGAAGTTAATGGAAAGACTCCCATCGACTTCAGTGGGAACTAAGGTTACTGCCTATCCAGGCTTCCCATGATCATTCCTTTTTTTGAGGTATTTGCTCTGCTCAGTGCGCGCTGCCAGTTGTCCAGTTTAATGGGCTCAGGATGATTCTGGAATCAGATGTCACTTTTTTTGTACCTCAGAGGAGGTAACCCTCGTGGGAGCTGAATTGTAGATGTAAAAATAAGTAAAAGAGCCATATGTAGGTATATGCATGTCTTACACATTCACTATATTCCCCCAAAAGATGGAAACTACTGTTTACTGATCATTTCCCCAAGAGGGCAGTGTACAGTGCCAGTTTTGCTGCACTCACTCTTGTGGTGAGGGATGCACCTGCTTTTTGGCAGTACACATTTTGTAGAACATAGAGAACAGAATGAAGCTCTTACAATATATTGATCTCTGTAGCAATCAATACAGCACTATTTGTAAACTGCACTAATAACATAATGCATGTGTACAAAATGTTTATTTAAAAAAAATTAAATATTGCAAGCATGCCATTAGAGAGTGAGACATCTAACCAAACATTAGTTTGTGAGAAAGTGTACTCCTGACTCTTGAGGTATTATGAATTTTATAATCATTACTACGAATGTATAACTTTGCATGCCACCTTCCTGAGATTAAAAAAGACAAGGTCCCTGTCTTCAAAAGCTATAGTCCAAATGTCATTATTGTAAAAAAAAAAAAAATTAAATTCTTGATAAAATAGGCTCAGGGTGACCAATCGAGTAAATGCCCAGTTTATCTCCAAGAGAAATGATCTAATCCGTGCTCCAGAAAATCCTAATGTGGGGTAGGATTTCTTAACCATAATTTACTGAATTTAATATAATTAATTATAAACGAAGGTTTGAAGTTATTCAACCTAATTATTTATTTGTGGTTACCTATAATTTTTTTCAGAGTATTGATTGGAGATCAGTAAACAGTGTTCATAGGAAGCTATAAATATCCAGGAATCCATGTACAATACATTGTGTAATAAGGAAAAAAAGTTTGAGTACCTTATATTCTCGAACAACCGACATGTTGCACTTTACAGAACTGAAGATGTGAATGGTGTTTGTTTAAAAAATCAAGCTCCTAATACATAGTAACACAAGGTAGAGTATAGTAATATTTTTCACTTAGTACTCTTTGATACCTCCCCATTTTAAAAATGGTGAAACCGCGGCATGAACATAGCTGTGGTTTTCTCGTGTCTAAGATCACACAGAAGATCATTATTAGAGCAGTTCCCATGTCTGCTGACCCCTAGTCACATTCCCTATCCATTGGACTGTTTGACTCCCTTTATAAACACTTGAATTACTGAATTAATCTTAGTGCAAGGATACATCTTGCTTCACAGAAAGGGATGGCATTATTTCTGCTTGCTATTTAAAAATAATATATTCCAAAGCCTGTGCTACATAACCATGTTTTGACTCTGACTAACACAATCCTTGCTATGTTTTGTAGCTTAATTTGAAAGCTAGACATTAATATTTTATAATTTTTTTCAGAATTGGAAGATGCCTATTAACATACAGCATAGCACACAGAGGATTATACTTAGGAATAAAAATGAACCTGAACCTCAAACTGTATTAAGCATGCCCCCACCTAAAATGGCTAGATCAGAAAGAATTCAGAAATGAACCACCTTCCTTCTTGCCAGATTTGAAATAGGCCCTATATAGGGGATGTAGCAGGTGACCATTTGCAAGTAGTCATCTGGAGAGTTGTAGGGAGGTGTGAACATATGGAGAGTACCTAGCAAAGAGTACACAATGCAGTTTTCATAAGCTAACACTGTCACCAAAGATTTGGATTTTGAGGCTAGGAAAAGGGGAGGAAAAAAAAGATGGGGGATGATATTGTTGAATGGAAGAAAGGAAAAGGGAAACCCAAAAGTTTGGATAAGCATTTGACCTTATCCAAAACAAATGTCCAAACCTTCTGAAGTTTATTCATCACTAATTCAATCAAAACTTTGTCATTACTTTCTAGGCAATTTCTTGTCAGTCTGTCTTATTGTATTACTCATGCTGCAGTACGCAGGGAAATGTAAAATCTTCCAGAATGGCAGGAATGGAAAAGACAAACTCTAGGCTACACACTGAGATATTGTGCACCTGTATTCTGTAATTTTTTTTAGAATTAGCATTGTACTTGTATGCTATTCCAATTCAGGAGACTACAAATGGATAAAATGTCTATAAATGCACCATCTTTATTGGCTTATATAAAAAGTAAACCTGTGGCTAATTGCGGGAAAGTCAGCACTAGTCTCATTCTCTAGAAAACTTCTTTGCCACCTCATCTGTCAAACCAAATGGTAAGCACAATCGAAACAACCTTCAGGAACCAACTTAATTACTTAGCTCCTCTTTGCTCTATTTCTCTTAATAAATTTCCCCATCCATTTAATGGGGATGAAAATTTCTATTTCACAGGAGAATTCTGAAGATAAATCAATTGGTGTTTGTGAAACACACAGGTATACCATGAAAAATGCTTTAGAAAAGCCTATGAGGAAATTAATTCAATATTCAGTTCAGGGTTTGGATGACGTGCAGTAAATAAAGCATGGGGCCACACATTAAATGGTGAGGATGAAAAAAGGTATTGACTAGCCGAGTCATTCTTTTCATTATAAGAGGCAGAGCTCCTGTAGAAAGAACATAGACACTAATTACATAATCACATACTATTACAATGAATATTCACAAGAAGGCAGAATTAAGATTTCAGGAGAAACCTTCAAGTGTGCATTTCCTAACACTTGACTGACTTTGCAACCTACATAACTTTATTTTAAGATAGTTTTGGTATGTAATATCAAACTAAAACTTACTTTAAATATCCATTCAAGGGACCATTTTTATCAGATGTTTTATATAGTCTAATAAAGGTAGACTAGAATTATATTTGATAATTTTAGGAATTTGATATTTTAGGAATGTCTTTTAAGAGAGGAAGTGACCTAGTTAAGACAGGTCTCTTGCCCAATTTCAGTCTAAAGAATAAATAGTTATGTGCAAATTTTATCAAAGCAAAGATAACTTCAAATGACTATTTCTATAGGTCGTACAGTAACTTGTTTAGTGTCCAGTTTTCCAGTCCTCTATTTAGACATACCTTTCATTCACCTTATCTTTGCAAATTGCAGTTCTATTTTGATTAAGTATATATCCAGATTAATTGTGAATGCACCATAAAGTCACACACAGTCTGTTCTAAGTGTCCTTTGCCTGTTTTTGCCTCATCTCTATAGTTGATTCTAGACGATATGGGCTATGCCCCATAGTTGGAATGTGGCCCAGCCACCTGAGTTTCACGTTATGTTGACCTTGAAGAACAGCAGACTGAAAAATAAGCCCTTATTGAAGTAAAATATATTATATGCTTGGAACTATTAAATATGTCTATGATGAAAAAACTGCATAGATCTTCAAGAAAATGAAGTGTATATATATATAACTGTAGAATATGTACAATAGGAGAGGGCAATAGTACAAGAATATGCCTGTTCAGAATCTAATTTAAAAAGAAGGCCCCAAAAAGATTGAAAGTAGGAAAACAGAAATCATATGGACAGTCTTATTTTTAAAAACCTGCAAGTGGCAGTCAGAGTGCAGGGGAAAAAATGAGTTTGATCAAATCAAGATCCCGGTGGGGAGGAATTTGAATTTTTTTTTAAATCTAATTTTGATTCTATTTACAGCTTAATGTCCCATGAGAACCTCAGCACACTGAATCCTTTAGAAAAAGAAAGGAAATTACTAGAGTAATAAACGAAGAGGTATTGTTCTGCTAAAACTACTGTCCATTTCATATTAAAAATAAGATCAACAATTATACAAAAACATGCATTTTACCAATAAAATCAAGTGAACGGTATCAGCCCCTGTGTTGAAATTTGCAAGCATTTTTTTTTTAAATGTGAAGGAAATAGCAGTAGCTCTGCTGTGACATTCAATACGTTTGCTTATTTAAAGATCTCCCCTACATGGGGTAAAATATCCAGCGAGGAAACTGCAAGGAGGTCCTTGTATCCTAAATGATCCAGCGTGATTATATCTGCTCGCAATTTACGAATGATAAAAAAGGGACAAATACATTAAAATGCCGGCAGGCTAATGCACAGAGTGGATGGGGAGAGCAGGCTTTAAGACCCAGGGGTTGTATTTGTCGAGAAAGGAAATGTTGCTTTTTGACAGATGAGAGAAATCCCCCTCAGTGTTGGCCATGAGAGGAGAGAAGTGAAGTCAGTCACCTGGTGGTGAAGGACAGTAAAACAGGAAAGAAGGTGGAAAAAAATCTCTTTTCCCCCTTTCTCTCTCTTTTCTGCAAAGAGATCCACCTCCTATTTTCCTCTAAACTCTTTTAGCATAACCTTCAAAGGAGACCATTCCCTACAGACTTTATTATCTTTATTTTTTATTGAGAAAATACCTTTAGCAGCAAAACATTTTTGAGTCTATGCAGGACTTTGGGGGGGGGGGGTATCTTTCCGGTGAAATTGATCATTGCTAATGTCTTGGGCTCATAGGTGCTAAATTAGCTACCAGAATAACGGAGACAGGCTTTCATGATACACTCTTCTCTTCAATTTGAACACATTTGCCTGAAATTTGCTGCAGGATGCTGTCCAGTGAAGCAGTTTTTTTCCTTGGGATGCAGCAATTCGCTGGTTTCTAAGCTTATTGCAGAAGAAGAAGTAATCTTAAACTGAGTGGATTTTTTTTGGGGTGGGGGGAGGCTTCTCTCCTCCTTTCATTGACACGGGATTTACCGAGGAAAGATCACCTGTCGCTATAATCCGTAAAGGAGTAAAAAAGTGAATTGTTATTTTATTTATTTATTTTTAACCGGTGGAGGAGGCGTGATCACGGAGAATGAGACTGAGGGGAGCTGCCAGGGTTTGGAGGACAAGGCTGAGTTTAGGCTGGAAACTGAGAGTCTAGATTTTTGTTTTGTTTTGTTTTTAATTTTGGCACAACTTCCTTGGTTCGCCTCCCTCCGTGTCCGTTAGTTTCATTCTATGGACAGATCCACAAACCTGGACATTGAGGAGCTCAAGGTACGTGATGCTCCGGGTGTTTTATTCTCTCCTCCCCTCTCCTGCCTTGCTTCTGGCTCTGCTAGAGGAGTTGGAGGCGCTTCGGGTGCCGGTGAGTGGGGATGGGGAGAGTGGGAATGGAGGCACACAGCAGTCCTTTGAGAAAGGGGGGGGGGAATCAGATTGTACAGTCGGGCTCCGCTTCTTCCCCTCTGCCTTGATAATAATAGCCCCTGTCCTCTCGTCAGTTACATCAGCACTTTGGGCACAGAGACAGAGCGCAGTGTGTCCATTAATCTCACCCTGGGAAGCAGCAGCAGATTTTCCCAGCGGCTGCTGATTTTCCGGTAGAAGTTCGCTCTAAAGGCCCCCTCCCTCTCCCAGCCTGGGCATCTCCGGCTAAAATCTTTATTTTTAGATATGCAAGCACCCTATAAAGCATGCCTTGGAGCGGTAGGGTGGCTTGCGCCTTTTCTGCTAGATTTTGATCTTCGTGATCCCGTGGTTTCCCCAATCGCAGATCCTACACTGTCTCTATCAAAAAGATTTAGCCAAAAACACCAAAAACCGAGCTACAGAGACACATAGGGCTCTGGGAAGAGCTCAGGAAAACGAAACCACAAAGCGTGGAGGACACGGAGGAGGCTTGGCTGGGATGCAGATTGCAGAAGTAGTGAATGCTTAACAAAGCATTAGCTCGGTGGCCTTTTCGAGCAGCACAACTTTACATGAGGACTGTGTCGTGTCAAGATTTTGCTCCCCATCCCATTTTGCTCCCTCGCTGTTGGAGAACATGCCTGAGATCCCAGCATGCCCCTTAGAACCAGTGAAGCTCTGCCTTCGCCTGCGGTTGGGATCAGCCCCCCGCCCCCCGAGAGAGCAGAACGGGGGTGACATAAACAGGGGGACAGGAGCGAAATCTGGGGTGAGGTGGAAGATGAGCGAGGGAGAGGAGAAAAATAATGGGAAAAACAATCAAAAGCAGGAAATAGAGGGACAAAAAACGGGAGAGGTTTCGGGGCTCTTCAGGGGTCTTCTCCCTGGGGTGTGTAGTGGGGATGTGGAGGTTAAAGAGAAGATAGCCTGAGAGAAAATGGGGAAGGGCAGGAGAGGGACCACCATACCATTAGGTAGATTTAAACACCATTGCACAGTTAGGGAAACAATAGCGGGGGAGAGTGGGGTCCCCCCGCTTCACTTAATCTAGCAACATCCCGAAAGCTAAACTGCGGAGTTCGCCCCTCATTTAGTAGCGAGGTTCAACTCTGCCAAGTATCGAAGAGCTTCTGTGGGCATCTTTGCCTTAAGACTCGCCGAATCTGAACGTACTTGTGAATATTTTCTCTCTCTCCAAGCCTTGCTTGTAACAATATAAAAACCCTCCTAAAAGACAAACACAACATGTTGTTGTTTTAAGTGCCAGGCTTCATGACTGCTAAACTGGTGAAACACACGCCTGTTTGAAAGTCACTGAGCAGTAGGTAGTAGAGCGCATTTTTCCCTGAACCGAGCCTGCTAAGAGGGACCCTTTGGTGAACCATCTGCCTTCTCAGCCTTTTCAGGAGTTTAGTTAGAGCTCAGTTTAATTTTAGGACAATGGTAGAAGACACGGGATGAGCCATGCAGTCAAGTCCCTGTGGGAAAGTTCAGTTTAAAGTGATTGAAAAAGCGCCTCTGGATATTGTGTGAATCCTAAAAATGGGTCGCACTTCGTGGGAATTGCTACTGCTTGGAGACTGCCAGATGTTTCACCACTGCAAGGGTGTTCTTCTGGCAATCTACTTTGCAATTAAGGCCAGTGTTGCAGGGATTATACAGTGGGCAACCTTGAGAAAAGCAGTATGGATGGAAGGTGATCCCCAGTGTTACTTTCCGTTGGTTGGTTTAAAGAGATCATCAGCAGTTTTGGGAAAAATTCCCCTTCCCATTCTTCCACAAGAATAAGATATGCAAAAAAACTGTCTCCCTGAAGCTGATACCCCTAGAGTTGCAATACCTATCTTCACTTAGCCTCCTTGGCACTCCTTCCATGCTTTCCCCACTCTCAGGCTCATTGGTTCATTTTACTTGTCTGAACAACTTTAGTAAAAAGCTTGTGGTGGGGAAGGCTCTCAAACTTTAAGTGATGCACTAAGCAGTGGAAAGATCCTTTTGCCTAGAGCATGGGATTTGTTGCTGTGCATGAATTACCAGTGGGGGGGAGGGATTCATATGGGGGTGGCTAGTAATCCAAATTCAGCCCTGATGTAACTACACTAAAGTCAGTGGGATGGATTTTCCCCAGTGAGATAGATCCTCTCTCCTGCTATGCTCCCTTTAGTACCACTCCAGTGATGCAAAGGAGGCTTAAAGGATTTCATGGACATCTTGGGATTCCCCTGCGTTAGCCATTGTTCCGCCAGTCCAGAGATGTAGACAAAGCTCTATTGAACTCCAACAATTCCTATCTGAGTAAACTGTCTCCATTGTAGCCAGACAGAGTAAAGAGCAGCCCTGATGCTGCTCTAAGTTAAGCAAAGGCTGAATTAATTCCTTTCCAGCTTTGGGATCAGGGAGGACCAAAGGTGGCATAAACTATCTTTGTGGTTCCAGCTCATCTCCCTCAGGTCCAGGCTGAACCCAACCAAAGGATCTAGCTCCATATGTTTAGACATCAGCCAACTGTGCTCTCTGGAGCTCTAGCAATCTCCTCTGAGGTGTTACTCTGAGGGCTGACATAGAATCATAGAATATCAGGGTTGGAAGGGACCTCAGGAGATCAAATGTGTTCCTAATCCAAGACCTTGCAACTACTTTTCCCAGGAATTTTAGAAATAGGGGGGACAGTGGTTTAATGCAAGATAGCAGATTTTTATTTTAGCACCAAGTTTATTTTATCTAGTACTGTATATAAAATGAATTTAGGAAATCACAAAACTAAACTCTGATTAATACTATACATCAGGTGTGCTTGTGGTGGTGGTAATGTAGTTGCCATACATTATACAACAGATAAAGATTCTGATAAACTGAGGTCAGACACTGAATGTCAATTTGAAATATGTATGCTCTTGATTATGATTGCTATGAATTCTGTATCCGTTTAGAAAGGTCAGTTTTTGTGCAAAACTGAACCAAAATTTGTGTGCAAGACCTGCTAATGAGGATAGGTATGACTTTCACTTTATTAGTCTGTGCACGAATTCCTGATGAAACAGATCAGTACTGGGGAGAGAGAGAGAGTACTCATCCAGAGATTTTTGGACTGCTCTGCTTTTCCTTTTGATCTGTCTCATCTTCTGTCTCAGATGGCATCTGTGAACTTTCCTCTGACTTTTAATTCACAACCCTGTGGTATTTTCTTTTAAAGTAGTTCCATCACAAAAATGAACTCAATTATGGTTATTTTCTTTGAATGTTTGCACTGCATCCTTAGTTTTAGTGTTTTGAGCTGTTTCTATTATTTAAAGTGTGTGTAGATATGTATATAGATATGTCTAACTAACATATACAGTACATACAGGTAGTGTATATGTGAGCATATATTTCTATAGGTCTTTGGCTCGTATGTAGTAATATATGTATGTTATTCCTCTGTATACATTAACTCTTACACATCAAGAACTGATGTTAAACTATTTGTTTTTCTTCACATGAAAATAGTGTAGTTTGGATTTATAAACAGTACAGAGGCTTTCAAGTTTCCTGGATTACAATAATTTGTTTGTCACCTTAACACTGAATAGCTAGTTACAGATTTTGTCCTTCACATTTTTCTGGCTGTTTGGTATACAGCTCTTACAGCATATTTTACAACCTTTCCTCTTATGTTAATTTAGTCATCAGAATGTGTCTACGCACTCGGATAATAGGGATAGCATTTTATACAGTCCATAAAGCATCCATGATATCTTTCTAAAAGAAAGTTGCCTGGTAAATTTAAAGTATTGTAAAAGTGGTATTGTTTACATACTGTAATAACTTGTTTTCAATCCAGTGCTTTCTACCTGAAGTTGCTGTTTGTATGCTAAATTAGAATTTTCCATTAGAATCCCAAAATGTTTATTTCTAGAAATGTGTTTGTTGGTCTTGTGATTATTGCCACTTAATGTGAAAGAACCATTAAAATACAGTACACTATGTCTGAATCACATTGAAAACCTATCCACGCCATTTGACAATAATTATCCTTCAAGTCTGTTATAGTTTCATATTTCCAGGTGAAATAAAAATACCAAACTTAACTGTATGAAACTGGACAAAGATGATGATCTGTGATGATAATACCATCCAGTGCATAATAGATTCTTCATTAGGAAAATACTTCATATGTCATGAAGAAACTGAGACAAAGAATCCAAAAGAATTTGAACAAGAGGTTGATTCAACAATATTGTGGTTTTAAACTACACAGTCTTTTAGATCACTTCACAATTTAAATCAAACAGGAAAGCTAAAACTCAGAACAATTCTGAATTTTTTTTAATAAGATAGAGCCAAGGAAAGTCATGCTTAGTATGGTGTAGGAGGATTTTTGATGAGTGTAAGTAGGTGGTTATATTTCTGTTATAAATTAGTCATTCCATAATGAAAAATAGTACTCTCTAACAAATGACATATTTTTAGCACACTCTACTCCACTTATGCATTCTTCTGCTTAAGAGAAGGACATCTTCATGTGGCTACTGAGTTATGTCTTCTCTTGTGAACAGCTCTTTCTTCCCCCTCTATTCCAACCCCCCTGGCTCCCCATCTCTTAGGCAGGGTCTATCATCAACAGTAGATAAAGGCACTTAACTTTTGAAGTCCACATTCAGAAAATGTAGTCTTGAAACTATTCCTAATTAAAGGTTGAGTTGAAATGGTTTTAAAGTACTAGGCATATTATTTCTCTTCTTGTCCCCTCTGTGGGGGTTCCCCTCAGTCTCCAAATACTTCTAGAAATTGGATATTTGGTCAGTGAGGCTGGAAAGAAATATATGCATAGTATATAATGTCATATGACCCAGAAAAAAAGGTCAAGACAACAGCAATGCTCCCAG